AAAAATGCTCTTAGAAACACATTATGCAGCTTTTAACCATACATATGTTTTTGTATAAAAGTGCCTAACGCCTGTTTCACACCGCAAGTACGAGCAAAGCGTGAGCAGTGCATGCGCAGCTTTAAAATAGAGGCCAATGTGAGCGTGGGCAGTGCAGCAAAATAGACCCAGCGCCAAAACTATTGCGGCTTCTGCATGCGGTATGAAAGCTCTAATCTGTTAATATGGATGCCGAAAAAGCACACGCTGCTCACGTTTGTGGTGTGAAACAGGCTAATGCAACAATGCAGTTTTGTTTTGTTTTACATTTTTCTTTACTTTTGGAGGTCTAATGATACGAAGATATGATTATAAGAGCAACAAATAACAACTTGACTTCTTGTTGATCACACGGAAAAGTGGCAGAAGGTGTATTTTTCAGCTGAATCATCTGTTGATCTGCATCCCAACCATCTCAAATACTGCAGAAGACCTACTGGAACCCACATGGACCCAAAATTCTCACTGAAATCAGTCAAGTTTGGTGAAGAAAAAATCATGGTTTGGGGTTACATTCAGTATGGGGGCGTGCGAGATAGAAACATCAACAGCCTGAGGTATCAAGATATTTGTGCTGCCCTTTACATTACAAACCACAGGAGAGGGACAATTCTCCAGCAGGATAGCGCTCCTTCTCATACTTCAGCCTTCACATCAAAGCTCCTGAAAGCAAAGAAGGTCAAGGTGCTCCAGGATTGGCCAGCCCAGTCACCAGACATGAACATTATTGAGCATGTCTGGGGTAAGATTGAGGAGGCGTTGAAGATAAACACAAAGAGTCTTGATGAACTCTGGGAGTCCTGCAGGAACGCTTTCTTCGCCATTCCAGATGACTTTATTAATCAGTGATTTAAGTCATTGCAGAGATGTATGGATGCAGTCCTCCAAGCTCATGATGGAGTCACACACAATATTCATTCATGACTTTATATTCTATACTGGACATTATTTCTGTTCAGTGATGAGATTTTTGTCTAAGCAAAGTCAGAGCTTACTGTCCTAATGAAATCATTCAAAATCAAGGCATGATCGAATTTTATTGTGGTAAAATAAGCGTAATTTAGAGGCCTTTGCCTTTCATATAAGCCACTTCTGATACCAAATGATCAACTAGAAGTCAGGGTATTACTTGTTGTTTGTAAAACTTGGATAAGCGACAAGACTTTTGTCGGGTAGTGTAGACAATGGGATTAAATATTTCAATTTTACCTTCATTTTCAGCTTTAACACACACCAATATATACTGTAAATACTGTACTGTACATAGAAAAATGCTACTGTGTACATTAGATTGAGATTTTTAGGTAAGCAGCACATGCACAAGAGCAATGCAAAAGTAAATATACAGTAAAGAGTCTTAGCAAGTGTGATAGGAAGATGTGCAATTAAGGGGATATGAAAACTGAAAGCATTACTTATGTAAACATGTGTGTATCATGTATGAAAATTAAATATTTATTCTGCATCAAGTGCTTCTGATGAAATTATTAATGAAGAAGATGATCAAATGCGAATTAAAAGTGTACTAGTAATGCATTGCATTGTGGGATAGAGCAGCCACTATAGTACCCCATGCATTCATGGATGTGCCCATCCCATGTTATTTTCCGGTGCTGTAAATCACCCGGCTGCTTTTTAGCCGGGTAATGTTTCATAGCGTAGAGCATGATTATGGTATTAATAGACTCTAAATCTGCCTCCATCCCCAGGGTTGGCAGTATACTTTACGGCATTGACAGCATGCCAGATTTACGTCGCAAGAGGACCATGCCTATTGTCCGAGACCTGGTGAGTAATCACACCCGGCACGGTTATGTTTGACTGATGGAGCTTTAGAAGACTGTATTAGCCAATCACACACGCATTCGCTCACTAGTCCAAATTTACAGTCCAGGGCACATGCAAGATGGAGGCGCACACGTGTTTATGTTTTGATGCTATTTTGAGGCTTTTACGCTCCACCAGAGTAAAAGTAGGTCACTCTCCTGGTGTTCTCCACAATAGTTCAGCTCATCTGTCTTGTCTTTAAATGCGCAGCGCACTCATATATTAATAATGCGCCGCTGTTTAATTCATGAGATTCTAGACGGCCACTGATTGATCCGCAGCTCATCTCTATAGTAGAATGTCCAATGTTTCTATTCACATTTGTTAACATTTCTTTTTGTTTTTCTTGTTTATTTTTGAACTCTTGTAAAGTCTATCTACGTGTCTTTGTCTTCATTTCTTCTTGAGTTTCTTAATGATGAGTTCTGTGATTCTGAAGGACAAATGTTGATGCTCTATCTGTCCATATTTTGCATGAAATTAAAAACCAACCCTGTTTTGGTAAGTACGGGCCATCGTTCAGTTTGTTATTTTGTTTTTTTTTTGGTTTTTGGCGTGTCCTGTGGTCCATTCCCACTTGGGCCCATATTTGTGTATGGGCGATATTTTTCAGTGAGTTGTCAGATTTCTCTCTCCCCCAAAAATCTTGTTTAAAAGTCACTCAATCCATGCACTGGAAAACTGAAATGTTGACAACTCTACCCAAAAATATATCCGAGGACTTCATTGACTTCTGATTTAATGTGTGCCTTTTTAAATCCATGTAAAAGTGACGTGCGCCAGTGAGCCTTTTACAGCGTGGATGAAGTCAGTGCTGTACCGGGTCTGATCTGGTCTATCCCATCATGCCTCTGTCCTCTGTTTTTGTCCCCTTGTTGGCTGTGTGATTGCTTCAGGGCAACGACAGTCGGTCACGTGACAATTCAGACATGCTAAAATCGAAACTCAAGCCCACAATTCCATTGCCTGCAGCAATTCTCAGCAATGGACCTTATGCACGGGGACTTTTTAAGGTTTGAATAAGCCCACCCGGGCGCTTCCGGTGAACTGTCCTACCATTATAAACTCACCACGTTTAAGATCTAGTTTGTTAAAAATCGGTGATCTAGACCACATGTATCAAATACAGTTCCTGGAGGGCCACAGCTCTGCACATTTACTTCCAATTCTAATTAAGTACTAAAAATAATCCATTACCAATGTATTTGAATGATTATTATTAATAAAATATATTTTTAGATATAACTAATATCTTGGGGTTTTGTTCATTAGTGAGGGAAGGATTGAACTTGAGATTGACGGGCGGATTGGTGCAGCCGCACCGATGTATCGGTCTGTTGTGGTGAAGAAGGAGCTGAGCCGAAAGGCAAAGCTCTCAATTTACCAGTCAATCTACATTCCTACTCTCACCTATGGTCGTGAGCTTTGGGTCATGACCGAAAGGACAAGATCTTGGATACAAGCGGCCGAAATAAGTTTCCTTCGCATGGTGGCAGGGCGCACCCTTATGTTACGTTCACATCAGATGCGGAAGAAGTGTCAAGCGCGAGGGATTTACATGTTAAGTCAATGCAAAGATACGAATAGACAACCTGTGGCACGAATGGCGCAGCGCGAACCAAGCATTTTAAGCATTTAACGCGCTTAACGTGGAAGTCGCGCAAATCGCTCGAGTTTGACAATCTGAACTTCAGAGCAGTTGTTTACAAAGCTCTGTATAAATACCACAAAACAACTTAAATGTGTCAGTTTGCTCAGTAGCTCGTCCTGTACAGTGTCGTATTTCGGATGCGAAGTGGACTGAGTTTGAGTTTGTCGAAGGATGGTTCTAGAAACAAGGTTTAAAAAAAGCTATGTAAAATCGTGGTAAAACTATGCAGCCGTGATGCACTTTTCTCTTCTCCTTTGCTTTTGAAAACACTATCGGTTGGGTTTAGGGTATTTGAAGTCAAAATAATTTACCGTGATTTTTTTTTTTTTTTTCCCTTTTTCAAATATTTCCCAAATGATGTTTAACAGAGCAAGGAAATTTTCACAGTATTTGCTGTAATATTTTTTTCTTCTGAAAAATTGTTTATTCGCCTAGAATAAAAACAGTTAAACATTTTTTAAAAACCATTTTAAGGTCAATATTCCAAAACGAAGATACGGTAGTTGGGTGAAATCTGTCTATTTATTGTAAGCTTGAATCATTCTGATTGGATTATTGTTGATTACGGATGAGAGGCCAGCCGCCATCAATCATATTATGTGTTCCTCTCGAAATTAGTAATAATGAGCTATTAAACCTTTAGAAATGTGTTGAAAAATTCTTCTTTCCGTTAAATAGAAATTGATGAAAAAAATAATCAGGAAGGCTAATAATTCTGACTTCACGGTATGCATGGCAAGCCTCACTCGAAGCAGACACGTATTAGTAGGATGTATAAATATCACATAAGAGAAAACATAACCCCAATATAAGTATTTGAGATTCGCAGAAATATAGACCGCGCCCTCTAGTGGAAGCTGCAGTAAACAACGCAAAAAAACACAGCCCTGTGAGACTGGATTGATATCAGCGCTACTGTCAAAGAATTTCCTTATGTAACTGGAAACAGTCCTTTCACCGGAAGTTTATCGGTGGCTAAAGAAAACACTTCCGTGCATATAGCCCATTCAAGTGCATGTTGAGACTTACATCAACACCTGGCGTTCATGTATAGGCCAAATCTACCCTGTTTTCCTATTTGCACCCCTGCTTAAAGGGGCCACTCGCAGCCCGCTTGGTCTTTACCACCATCAGGTTGAGGGTCCGATGGTAAAGACGAGTCCAGTACGGTCCGCTGTCTGTGCCTGCCGAACTAAATATGGCTAATCGTGGCTTTTTTGACTTTTGACCGGCTCTGTAGTGTCCCATTTCCCCGTCATTGACTTTCTTTCTCTGGTTTTCTCTGTCCTGAACTCTTTTGGATGGTGTTGTTTCTTTTGAGCTGGCTTTGACACATGCCGTCTGCTCTTGTCTGTTTGTAGCAGTAATGGCAGCAGTACTCGCAGGCAGTAGGAGTATGTCAGGGTTTCTTTAGCGAACAATTGCACAGCAAATGCATGAGTGAACTGTAAAAAAAATAAAAATAAAAAGTAAAAGAAATCTACTGCATGTCAGAGGCGAGTTATTTAAGGATTGAGCCTCACCTCTGCAGCTTTCACTCTGCTCTTTATAGACAGACAGTCGATCTGATTTTCTGCATGACTGCAGGTATGATGTAGAGACTGTAAATGACAGCTCGCCTTCGCTACATGTCTAATTTCGTGTTCTGTCTGCTTCTCCCCCCGCATCTGGACGCTCTAGGCTTTGGTAAGTCTCCTGCATTTTTAATGAGTGCCTCAAGTCTGAATCCACTGTTACCTTCAGCATAGATGTGTCTGTATCTTTAGAGAGTATGCCACAATCGTGTGTGTGTGTGTGTGTGTGTGTGTGTGTGTGTGTGTGTGTGTGTGTGTGTGTGTGTGTGTGTGTGTGTGTGTGTGTGTGTGTGTGTGTGTGTGTGTGTGTGTGTGTGTGTGTGTGTGTGTGTGTGTGTTTGTGTGTGTGTGTGTGTGTGTGTTTGAGAGAGTGTGTGTATGTGTTTGAGAGAGTGTGTGTTTGAGTGTTTGTGTGTGTGTGTGTGTGTGTGTGTGGATAGATGGTTGGTTGTCAGAATAAAAATATGACATTATTATAGTTGCTAAATATGCTTAAAGTTGACATATATTTGTTCCAGCTGGTTAGACATGATGTCATGGTGCTGTTAAAGCTTGTTTGTAACTAATTTTATTAGGAAAAGCGGTTTAAGATGCTTCTTGAGCACAGTCTTATAGTTAAAAAAAAATCCTCTTTTACTGTACATGTAGATTACACTCAGTGTTAGATGGGCAACCATCCATCCATCCAATGGCCATATCAATCCATCCATTCATCCATCCATCCATCCATCCGTCCATTTATTCAATGGCCATTTCAATTCATCTGTTCTTTCGTCCGTCCATCCATCCATCCATCCATCCATCCATCCATCCATCCATCCATCCAATGGCCATTTCAATCCATCCATGCGTTTGTCCGTACATCCATCCATCCATCCATCCATCCGTCCATTAATTTAATGGCCATTTCAATCCATCCGTTCTTCTGTCCATCCCTCCAACGGCCATTTTAATCCATCCATCTGTCTGTCCATTTATCTATCCATCCAATGGCCATTTCAATCCTTCCATCCATCTGTCTGTCCATTTATCCATCCATTCAATGGCCATTTCAATCCATCCATCTATCCATCCATCCAATGGCCATTTCAATTCATCCGTTCGTTCTTCCGTCCATCCATCCATCCATCCATCCATCCATCCATCCATCCATCCATCCAATGGCCATTTTAATCCATCCATCTATCCATCCATCCAATGGCCATTTCAATACATCCATCTATCCATCCATCTAATGGCCATTTCAATACATCCATCCATCCATCCATCCAATGGCCATTTCAATCCATCCATCTATCCATCCATCCAATGGCCATTTCAATACATCCATCTATCCATCCATCCAATGGCCATTTCAATTCATCCGTTCGTTCTTCCATCCATCCATCCAGCCATCCAATGGCCATTTCAATCCATCCATCCGTTTGTCCGTACATCCATCCATCCATTTGTCCATTCATTCAATGGCCATTTCAATCCATCCATCCGTTTGTCTGTGCATCCATCCATCCGTCCATTCATTTAATGGCCATTTCATTCCTTCCATCCATCCATCCATCCAATGGTCATTTCAATCCATCCATCCATCTGTCTGTCCATTTATCCATCCATCCAATGGCCATTTCACTCTATCTATTCCTCCATCCATCCATCCACCCAATGGCCATTTCAATCCAATCGTCAGTTCATTCATTCATCCATTTAATGGCCAATAGCCATCCATCCATTCATCCATTCGTTCATCCAATGACCATTTCAATCCATCTGTCCATCCGTCCTTCCATCCATCCATCCGTCCAATGACCCTTTCAATTCATCGATCAATCCATCCATTCGTTCGTCCATCCATCCATCCAATGGCATATCCATCCATCCATCCATCCAACCATCCATTCGTCCAATCTGTAATATTACTAATGAACTATTATACTAATTGTACACAATCTTATGGTCCACAGGCACATATTTAGGAATACTTAGAAATACATTGTGTTGGAAATTTACTAAATATCTTCCTCTTAATAAAACTTAATTGAGTAATATGCATGGCTAAGAACTTAATTTTTACATTTTTAAAGTATACATCAATAAAAATAATTTATTTCTTTATTTTATTTTATTATATCTTTAATTATTTATTTATTCTCACATTTCCCCAAACAAAAATACAGATACTTTTTAAGGCAGCATCATCATATGTATAATTTTTCTGAGAAGTCATGACAGAATGTGTCGGCTCTGTTTCAACTACTAGTGAAAACGATTAAGCCTCATGTGAGAGGAGATGGCAGCTCTGAAATGAATGCAGCCTTTTAAGAAACCTTATTTTGAACAAAGTCTAAGACAGCATTGCATGTGTTCTTCAAAGAGAATTAAATCGCAGGAATACATAGAAGCAAGCACGTATAGAAACTGTTGAAATATTGTTTTATGAACACTAGACTAGTTTTAGCACAATGTTACACCTGCAAAAATGCTTTTCTTAACTAGAATATCTACTAAATATCTTCTGACATATCTTTAAATTCTTAAATCAAGAAGCATTTTGTGGACATGCAAAACATTGTCGTGTTTCTAAAATTGAAATATCAAAGTAAAGTCAGTTTTTTTCTTAAAACAAGCAAAATAATCAGCCAACAGCGTAATCAAGATAAACTCATTTAAAATGTAAAGCCAGATTATTTTTCTACCACATTGGCAGATTATTTTACCCATTTTATGGAGAAAGTCTCAATTTTGATTCATTATTTCCAAAAACAAGGCAATATTTTTTTTTTGCTTGTCTTCATTTAAGAATTTTGAGATATTTGGACCATTTTTTTGCAGTGTGTATGATTTTTCTTTGCACTCGTCAATTGTACATGAAGGCAAAAGGCTCTCAGTCTGCCTGTTATTTAGAAAGCAGTTGTCATCTATGGAAATATTTTAAGATCAGAATCCACCTAATGAAATGAGAGCATATTGCACAGAGCAGAATATCAGCTCCAGATCATCAATTCCACCTAAATTGAAAAGATTTCTGTAGGCTAACAGGTGAATATCTGCTTTTTCCAGCATGACTAATCAAGTTTTATCTTCAGCATTCAGCCTAACATAACAGCTTTTCAGCCTAGCGTTTGAATGTTCTCTGGAGCGTTGTCTTTTGTATTTCTCCCCCGTTTTCACTCATATTTCCCATCATTCTTTCAGACATTGGCTGCTCGAAAGGCAGGCATTGCGTTTGGGCTGGTGAACAGATCGACTCTGAACAACGAGGAGCTGGTGAGTGTTAAACCGACACACACACACACGTTTTCACCATATAGTCCAGCATATAAATCACTGTGTAAGCAGCTAGTCGCAGTCTAATGAGGAGCGATCATGCGGGACTAATGTAACGCTCATGCATAAAACCACAGCTAATACACACATATGCAAACACGCGCGTACGCACGCACACCCAGAGGCAAGAAGAAAGGAACCAGATTAAAAATGACTATTTATAATCTCTAATGATATTCCTGACGATAACTGGGATGTGAAATGAGTGAAGGGTGATGTACAGGCGCAAAATTAATGATGGCAGAAAGATCAAGACGCATATTCAATGAAACATTGACTTGCCTGCTAAAGGCTTTCAATTTCAGTGTATATTCATTCATTCAATCATTTTCCTTTGGGTCAGTCCCTTATTTGTCACAACGAAGTGAACCACTAACTAGAGGTCGGGACCTGGCCAGATTTCTGCGGCGTGGGAATAAATTTCCGAATAAATCGCAGGAGCGGTCGGAAATTTGGGTTTAATTTGGGACGGGAGCGAGCTGTCTAGCAATATCGCTCCCGACTCCTGAGCGAGCAAGCGTATGTATGTGTGTAAATGAAATAGCGCGATGCTGTGTGTGTGTGTGTGTGTGTGTGTGTGTGTGTGTGTGTGTGTGTGTGTGTGTGTGTGTGTGTGTGTGTGTGTGTGTGTGTGTGCGCGCGCGCACGCGTGAATGAGAGGTGTGTGTGTGTGGGTGTGCACGAATAAGAGAGAGAGCTTTGCCTGTGTGTGTGCTTGGTGCTTATGTGTGTGTGTGTGTGTTAGTGCGCGTGCGAATGAGAGAGAGCTTTGTCTGTGTGGGTGCTTGGTGCTGTGTGTGTGTTTATACAGACAGCTTGTTATATACTGTATAGTTGGGTGATTCTCGGTTTTGTTCTCTCCCCCGCTCTTTAACGGGATCGGGTGCGGCGGGTTGAAAACGGGGTGGGGCGGGCAGCGGGACAACAAATGCTTAATATAAGCAGGAGCGGTCGGGTTCGGGCTAAAACCTGGCGGGTGCGGGATTCAAAATTTAGTCCCGCGCAGATCTCTAATTCCCACTTATGTTTTACGCAGGGGATGCCCTTCTAGCTACAACCCAGTACTGGGAAACACCCATACACACTCATTCACACACACTCACACACTAAGGCCAATTTAGTTTACCCAATTCCTCTATAGTGCATGTGTTTGGACTGTGGGGGAAACCGGAGCACTCTGAGGAAACCCACGCCAACACAAGGAGAACAAGCAATTTCAGCGAATCAACAAGACGAGGCAACACACACAACAAGTGATAAATATACAAAGAAACTGTTAGTGCTCAGAGAACTAAGAACTAGATTTAGGAGGTGGGAGTTTTTTTTTTTTTTTTTTTTTAAAGAGAGAAAATAGTTTCTACAGGTGGTTTGTCAAGCCCACTCACCTGTGTGAGGCACATATCTTAAATGCACAATGTATTTTCTGTTTTTTTTTTTTTTAGAGAGAGAGAGATATGGATTATTAGAAAGTGTCTGCTGGAAATGTGCTAATACAAGTGTAGGTAAAAACGTCAGGGAGATGAAAGAGTGCGTTTTCTACAGGTGGTTTGTTAAGACCACTCACCACTGTGAGGCACACTGACAATTGCATATTCATTCATTCATTCATTCATTTTCATTTGGCTTGGTCATTTTATTAATCAGGGGTCGCCACAGGGGAATGAACTGCCAACTTATCCATCATATGTTTTACATAGCAGATGCCGTTTCAGCTGCAACCCAGCACTGGGAAACACTCATGCACTCTCACATTCACACACAGACACTACGGACAATTTTAGCTTATTCAATTCACCTATATTTCATTATTTTATTTATTTAAACGGGTCACCACAGTGGAATAAATCGCCCACTTATCCAGCATATGTTTTGTTTTTTTGCCCTTACAGCCACAACCAAAAACTTGGAAACATCCATACACTCTTGCATTCACACACATACACTACGGCCAATTTAGTTTACCCAATTTCCCTATAGCTCATGTGTGTGGAATGTGGTGGAAATCAGAGCACCCGGAGGAAACCCACACCAACACGGGGAGAACATGCAAACTCCACACAGAAATGCCAACTGAGGCAGCCGAGGCTCGAACCAGCGACCTTCTTGCTGTGAGGTGACAGTGGTAACCACTGTACCACCGTTTAAAATTAGATTAATTTAAGACCATTATACATTTTTAGGATTTGATGAATAGAATGCTTAAGAGGACAGCATTTATCACTGTTGAAGAGGATGTCGCTACCGTATATCTGTGTTTAAAACATTCATGCGGTTTTCTGATTATTTGGCTGTTGATCGATGGTTCTAGTTTAAATTGTGCTCTTGTACTTTAGTTCAGCAGAGGGGCCGAAACCCTGAGAGAGGAAAGAACGTCTTAATCAATAGAAGAAGAATTACTCCTCCTTTTTTCCCCCAGACCTTCTTCCCTCCCATTAATTGATTGTCTGAATAAACGACCTGGAATGACACCGGCTGATGGGATATTTAACTCTGAAGCGTACCTGACATGGCTTGTATTTTGGCTATACTAAATACTCGTTTTAAGCGGTGGCTCAGTGGTTCGCACTGTTGCCTCACAGCAAAAAGGTCACTGGTTCTTGTCCAGGCTGGGTCAGTTGGCATTTCTGTGTGGAGTTTGCATGTTTTCCCTGTGTTGGCGTGGGTTTTCTTCGAGTGCTCCGGTTTCCCCCACAGTCCATGCACATGTGCTATAGGGAATTGAATAAACTAAATTAGCCTCAGTGTAATAAATAAAATAGTGAACACAAAAAACCCATCATCTAGATATTGTGTCATTCGCAATCAGGAGTATTCAGTTTATTCAGTCAATTTACGGTTTAAAAAAATGAATAAGAAATAATGCACTGTGAAAAAAGCATATGACAAAAAGTCATGACAGCAAGTCTTTATATGTTAATTGAACTTATTTTAATAAGTTAATTAGGTTTCCACCAGTTTTTCAACTTATGAAAAGTTTAACATATTTAAGATGGTTTGATTGATATATTTGAGATGACTAGAAAAGTTAATTTGATTTAACTTAATTTAAAACAGCAGTATTTTTTTACAGTGTGAATAGATTTAATAACAAAAATATTATATATATATATATATATATATATATATATATATATATATATATATATATATATATATATATATATATATATATATATATATATATATATATATATATATATATATATATATACAGAGAGAGAGAGAGAGCAGCACGGTGGATCAGTGGTTAGCACTGTTGCCTTACAGCAAGAAGGTCATGGGTTCAAGTCCCGGAATGTGTTTGTGAATGAGTGTGTATGGTTGTTTTCCAGTACTGGGTTGCAACTGGAAGAATATCCGCTGCATAAAACATATGCCAGTTCTATCTATCTATCTATCTATCTATCTATCTATCTATCTATCTATCTATCTATCTATCTATCTATCTATCTATCATCTCTTGTCGGCTTAGTCCCTTTATTAATTCGGGGTCGCCACAGCGGAATGAACCGCCAACTTATCCAGCTAGTTTTTTACGCAGCGGATGCCTTTCCAGCCGCAACCCATCTCTGGGAAACATCCACACACACATTCACACAAACACTCATACACTACAGACAATTTAACCTACCCAATTCACCTGTACTGCATGTCTTTGGACTGTGGGGGAAACCGGAGCACCCGGCGGATACCCACGCGACAGTAGTACCTCGCCATCTATCCATCTTCTGTATTTTTTTTATTATTACTAGTGTGCAGCACACCTGTAAAGAGTTAAAGGAATAGTTCACCCCAAAAATAAATTTAATTCATTATTTACTCTCCCTCAAACGGTTCCAAACCTTTTACGTTTTTCTTTCTTTTCTTGAACACTTAAGAAGATCATTTATAAAATGCTGAAAACCGGTAACCATTGACTTCCATAGTAGGAAAATAAATGCTGTAGAAGTCAATGATGGCCTTAAAAATATTTTTTGCTATGATTATATTAGCATAATATATACCACAATGAAATTGAGTCTCTGCTTAAAAAAAAAAATAATAATAATAAAATAAAATAAAATAAGGGCGACGCAGAGGCGCAATAGGTAGTGCTGTCGCCTCACAGCAAGAAGGTCGCTGGGTCGCTGGTTCGAGGCTCGGCTTAGTTGCCGTTTCTGTGTGGAGTTTGCATGTTCTCCCTGCATTCACGTGGGTTTCCTCCGGGTGCTCCGGTTTCCCCCACAGTCCAAAGACATGCGGTACAGGTAAATTGGGTAGGCTAAATTGTCCGTAGTGTATGAGTGTGTGTGTGAATGTGTGTGTGGATGTTTCCCATGGATGGGTTGCGGCTGTAAGGGCATCCGCTGCATAAAAACGTGCTGGATAAGTTGGCGGTATGACTAAGCCGACAAGAAAATGAATGAATAAATAAAATAAAATTAAATAAATTGAACACTAAAGAAGAGATTTTGAAAAATGCTGAAAATTGGTAACCACTGACTTCCATAGTAGGAAAAACGAATGCTATAGCAGTCAATAGTTACAGGTTTTTAACGTTCTTCAAAATATCTTTTGTGTTCAACAGAAGACGTTTAAAACAAGTGAAGGTAGATGACAGGATTTTAGTTTTTGAGTGAACTGTATCTTTAATCTTGCAATATGTGTTATTGGGAGTTTTAAAGAGCCCATATTATACATGAAATAGGGTCATATCTTGGTTGTAAGGGTCTCCAACAACAGTTTAATATGCATGCAAGGTCAAAAAACACTTTCATGGTCTTATAATCTGCATTTATTTTTACCTAATTATCCCAGCGACTCCTGTATGAATCGTTCAGGGATTCATTTGTTCCCAAACCCCTCCTTAGCGCGAAGCTAATCTGCGCTGATTGGACCGATGACAGTCTGTTGCGATTGGTCGACTGCCTTCAGTCAGAGAATGAAATGCCAAACAGCTA